CAGCTTTGCCACACACAGTCATTCAGGGAGCTGGGTTCCTGCCATATTGTTACTCTGCTACCCTTCAGGGGCTTGCCCTTATGTGCTCGGTTTAATTTGGGTCATCGTGACATCTGCCTTCCAGCTCATGGGAAGGAGGGAGGTTAGAGGCCCACCAATTTCCTTTTAACCAAGTGACCCAGAACTTGCTCACATCGCTTCTGCCCCCAGTCTCCTGGCAAGAACTTAGTCATATGGCCATACCTAACTGCAAGAGAGGCTAAACTCTATGACTGTGGAAGAAGGGAAGAACGGATTTTGATGGTAACTCTTATACTGCCAGAGTAGGCTAGCAGATTTTAAACCACCGGCCAAAAATAAACTTGAAGATTATCTACAGATTTTGTTTGAAATACTAAAATACTTTTAGTATTTTAGAACACAGGAAGAAGGAGTTGGCTAACTAGAGAACTTGGGTCAAAATAGCCATCCTGCATGCTCATTCATTAACCAGTTTTAATTCCAATAGTGGATATTTAAATTTCCAAAATTTTCTGTATAGTGACTCTATGGAAACTTTTAATACTGCAGCCTCTTTCACTGTCCTATTTTCTTACTGGATTCGCCAAAAAGTTCCTTCGGTTTTTAAGTAAAAATATTAGACACATTTTTCATTTTCACTGAGAACTTTATTGAACAACGTATTCACCATTTTGTTCCACTACCTTCTGCCATTTTTCAGGCAACTTCATAATTCCATCTCCCCAAAACTTTTTAAAGAACCGTTCTAGGTGCCTTTTACAGTCTTCCAGGGAACTGAATTTTTTTGCATTAAGAGAATTTTGTAGAGACCGGAATAAATGGGAATCCAAAGGTGCAATGTGTGGTGAATACGGTGGATGAATCAGAACTTCCCAGCCAAGCTGTAACAGTTTTTTGCCTGGTCATCAAAGAAACATGTGGCCTTGCGGTATTCTGATGGAAGATTATGTGTCTTCTGTTGACTAATTCCAGACGCTTTTCGTCGAGTGCTGCTTTCAGTTGGTCTAATTGGGAGCAGTACTTGTTGGAATTAATTGTTTGGTGTTCCGAAAGGAGCTCATAATAAAGGACTTCCTTCCATCCCACCATATACACATCACCTTCTTTGGATGAAGACCGGCCTTTGGTGAGGTTGGTTCATTTCACTTGCCCCACGATCTCTTCTGTCCCATATTATTGTACAGTATTCACTTTTCATCGCCCATCACAATTTGTTTTAAAAACAGAACATTTTTGTTACATTTAAGTACCGAATAGCATGAGGAAATATAGTCAAGAACGTTTTTTTCGCTTAACTTATGTGGAACCCTAACATCAAAGCGATCCACATAATCAAGCTGCTGCAAATGATTCTCAGCGCTTGATTTGGATATTTTGAGTATGTCGACTATCTCCCGTGTGGTATAACCTTGATTGTTCTCAATTAATGTCTCAATTTGATCACTATCAACTTCAACTTGTCTACCTGACCGTGGAGCACTGTCCAGCGAGAAATCTCCAGCATGAAACTTCGCAAACCACTTTGGACACATTCGATCAGTCACAGCACCTTCTCCATACACTGCACAAGTCTTTTTTTGCGTTTCAGTTGCGTTTTTACCTTTCTTGAAGTAATAAAGCATAATATGCCAAAAATGTTGCTTTTTTCTTCCATCTTCAGTATTTAAATGACTACACAAAAATTCACCAATTTTGATGTTTTTTTAAAAATGCACGCTGATATGACAGCTGTCACAATACAATTTAACAAAATTGTTTCGAATGAAGTTAAAGACAACTAAGCACTACTAGAGCCATCTTATGGAAAAAAACGAACAAACCTTTTGGCCAACCCAATACATTTAAGCAAAATCTTTTTAATGTCTTTGAATCTTACACGCACACATACACACACACAGTGGTGGTACAGTTTATGAGTTCACTCACAATCACCTTAGTAATTCATTTCTTTTTCATCTGATACTCTATTCAGATGAAGGTATAATGAAGCAGAGCACCTCTTCTGAACTTCAGAAGCACTGTACTGTGATTTAGGATTTGTTTGAAACTGATTAGGCGTGAAATCAGAAACCTTCTGATATATCACCACTGGGTTTATTGGAACCCGAGATACGGTAGAGATAGATACATACGTTATTTTCTTTTTATGAGCTGCAAGGTGGCATAAATGATAGTAAAACCACTTTTTAGAAAGTGACTTAGACCAGCAAATCTAAATCAGACCATCTAGTAAATTTCAGACATACTGTAATGGCCATTGAAATGGGGTTGATTGAGTGTTAAGTGTAAACTGAGATGTTTTCACTTAAAAAAATAGATTGATATGGATGTGTGTGTGTGTGTGTGTATATATTGGGGAGTGGGGGATAAATCCTAAGAGAATTTGAGAGGACTCTAAGGAACTGTCAAAATGCTTCATGAAAAAATTTTACTGCCCCTGTCTTCATCTCAACTAGAATTGTACCTTTAATGCTCATGCAAAATCTCCAAAGTGCAGTCTTTCCAGCCATTTACAAATATTGATTATGCAAACAGTTGGTATAACAATGTATTGTATGCTATGGAGGACACAATGATTGTGCAAACAGTTGGTATAGCAAGATATTGTATGCTGTGGAGGACACAAATGCATACTATACTGCATGATCCCTCCAATAAGTGTTTTCTATAGTTCAGGAGAGAACATAATACAATTTTTTTCCCAAAGTACATGGAGCAAGTTCTTTAAATAAAGGTCTATATATAAATAACATACTTGGATCCTAAGAGCTGGCTATTACAAGGCAGTATTGAATTCATTTATATGAGTTAAAAAAAAATGAGTGACTTTAGGCCAGAGTAGTCATTGGAAAGATAGTCTTCATGTAAACTAGATTGGTGGAGAGAAGCACTTTCAGAGGAAGAAAATGTAGTCAGCAAAATATATGGATTTGCAGGTACATATGACATGCTTGAGAAACTGTAAAACAGGTTAATCTGGTAAAGATGGAAGTTATACATGGAGATAAGGCTAGACTTGCACACTGAGGTCAGAGTTTGAAGCATTCTTTAAAGCCAGGATAAAGAGTTTGTATTTCTCTTTTTAAAAAGATATTGGAAGCTATTGAAGTTTTCTGAGTAGAGGATGTTAGAAGTGACTACTTAGACTAATCTGGTAGTCTAAGAGCAGATTGAAGGAAGGGAGGGAAGGGAGCCCAATTAGGAAGTGATTGTAAGAATGGAGACATGACATGGTAAGATCCTGATGGAAGATTGGGGAAAAAAAAAAAAAAAAAAAGATGCATTGGAAAGACATTACCTCAAGGATGTTAAGTGAGGGAGAGGAAAAATAAAGAAATATGCTGAGATCTTGAGTCTGAATTACAAGGGGCAATGTCATCCTATTGCCAGAAATATTGAATATGAGGTAATACTGGAAATTCAAATGAAAAGGCATACTAGGTATCAGAAGATAGGTAAGAGGTGATGGATCTGGGGGTACAGATTTGGAAGTCTTTTGCCTAGAAATTATAAATGAAGCCAAGGAAGTGTGAATAAGCTAAGGAAGGGAGTGGGTAAAGAGAAGACAGCTGAGTTTCCATACTTGGTAGAAGGACCAAAACATGCCTTAATAGAAGTTAGTGATAGTACATTCAGAAAGGTACAGAGAACCAACAAAAAGCCCAGAATGGGAGTGTTCAAAGAGATAGACAACGCTGTGGAGGTCAAGGAGAACAAGAACCAACAAAACATTGTATTTGACTATTAGGGAGGAGAGATGTGGAGAGGACAGACGTAGACACATCCCATTTATTGAGTGCCTACAGTGAACCACTCTTCGTGGTAGATTCTTTTATATCCATGATTTTATTTCTTCCTCAGCGTAAGATTATGTCCTCCTTTTTCAGATGAGGAAACTAACACAGAACTTAAGTTTTTCTGGGTTCAAGATTCAAATCCAAGTCATAAATCTTTTTCCTGTATCATGGTGAAGGTCATCTATAAAAGAAATGGGCAAATCAATTGTGGGCTGCAGTTTGCTGTTGCCTCTTAAATGTTGCCAGAATAAAGATAATTATTCCACTATACCTCTAGCCATAGTCAGATCTAAGGGTTTGGGGTCCTATTCTTAGTAGATTTTTGGTTGAAAGGGACCTTTGAATTTTTCTAATTTTATAGATTAGAAAGTGAGGTTTGGAGGCCATAAAGACTTACTCAAGATAGGGTCACACCTGGTTCTAGAAACTCCGGAGTCTGGACTCTGGATGCGTTCTCTTTCTACTTTTACATACCCCCTCTTCTCAGAAATAACAGGTGGTATTTATAGATGTCTACTCCAACAGCCTGAGCTCTTACGTTTGTTCTCTGGCATCTTAATATCATTTCAAATAGATAACGCCTACTGTAAAAATGCCTGTGTGACAGACAGTAAGTACTAAAGAAAGTGAAGTTGATTTAATTTTAGATCCATAACCTGTGAGTCTCTTTCC